GTTTTCTGGTGTCAGCTTCACCCTATAGGAGCCAGGACCTCTGACCCTTGAGAGTCCAAGTTTGCAGGAACAAGAAGCACAGTCTTCAGGTTCTCACTGGAAGTTGGGCTCAGAGCGGCCGATCTTACTTCCACACCTTGGTTCCCAGATTTGTTTTTTCTAGCAATTGGAGACACACCCATTGACTCACACTACATCCAGGAGGACAATGCCTCAACCCCACAAGCTGTTGTCTCCAAGATGTTCTACACCTGAGCCTTCAGTAGACCACGCCATGGTTCAGGGGAGCACTAAGATGGCCAAAGAGAGGCTGATTGACTTCTACAGATGGATCATTCTGTCTGACTGTTTGCTGAGAGCCTCTTTGGCAATGGATGCTCTCTGGTGAGTATTAACATGAAGCTGAAAAACCCATTGTGCCCACTCCCATGAGCTCATACATTCACTGTTAACTTGACCTCCAGGAGTTTATCCCTGCATGGGAGTTGGTATATGTCTATACCTCAGGCCAGCTCTCCTTCCGCCCTTAAATGGGGATGGCACACAACGGTAGTCTGTTTCCAACTAGCGCCAATGTCTCGTGTTGACCTGTACGTGAGTGAGGCCCTGGTCCTCTGATCCTCCATCAGAGAGTCCTAGGAAGCTCCCCTTTGAGGCTACAGGTACCACTGAGGAAGAATGTCAACAGAGTTGACAATGTAGGCCACTTGTTAATGCAACTTACCTGTTCCTTCTAGACTTCTTTGAGCTTGGTCCTAAATGTGCCAGTTCTGTCACATGTTGGATCGCTGCTGTTCATGACAATCTTATTACTCAGTGGCACTGCACAGCCCTTCTTCAAAGGAGCCCAGCCTCTTCAATCGACGGGCTCTGGGTTATGAGCAAGCAGATAATTTTCCTTTGTAATAGCTCATGTTATCTTTCTGCTCTTACACTCTTGATTTTTTAAAAAAATTATGCAAACTGAGCGATCCCCTGTCAACTCTTCATCAGTCTCATCCCTAGTAACACCATGATCTATCAGCCACTGATATAAATACCTAGGGCTCAAGGTACTCTGATTAATACTCCAGCCTTGTTGTCCATATGGTAATTATGTCCCCCTTGATCTTATGACTTAACCGTTCAGCTGGCCTTTGCTATTACATTGACTCTCATTGATACTAAAAAGTCAGTTGCCCTACTATTTCCCGCACTTGAACTCAGCCGTCAGAGGGTCACCCCCACTGGACTTCTCAATGATGCTGGTGCTCCCTTACCCCACCAGGGAGTCCCTTTCTGGCTCAGTGAAGGAAATGTTCTCTGGGCCATCCCAGGAAAGAGTCAGGTGGTGGGGTCTCGTGACACTAGTATTTGCACCTCTCTGAGCCTCCTATTCCTTTTCCCAATATTGTGCCAAAAAATCCTGGCATCTCACTGTAGGCTACTGTCATGAGAACAAGCACCATCTTGCAGAGCACCTGCTGCAGTGAGGTCACTGCTTTGTCCGCATGCTCATAGGAACTGTTCTGTTCTGACAAAGGAGAAAAGGGGTGCTTCTACCAGCCAGCGGCGTTAGGGAGACTTGGGGGTCCAAGAGTCTCAGGCCCGTCCACCAGAATGTCTCTATTTCAGACATAGGGAAATGTCAAACTCTTTCCCTATCAGAGCCCTGACTTGGACACAAACCTGTGTAACTGCACACTTGGTGTTCTTTCATCTTTGCCACACTTACCACCAGATCCTGAGCCTCATTTCCTCAGAGTCCGTCTTGTGGGTGTCAACAGATGAACGTGTCCTTAAAGCTTCCCCAACACATGCCTTAATTCCCTTACAAACCGCTTCCCTGAATCTATCCTTTTCTCTTTGCAAAATTCAGTACCGTCAGGAGAAGCCACCCAACCCTCCAGTCCTCGTGGTTATCATTTCCCACATCAGTCACATTCAGCCGCCGCTTGACCTCCCAAAGCCATGACCTCCCATGCATCTCATTCCAATTTAGCAGGTGAAGCTTTAGAAATTATGTCACTATGTGCCACATAGGACCCTGTTTACGATCAGTAATGAGGCCCCTTCGTTTCCAGATAGAAGGGAAATCCAGTCCCAATGTCCATCCTGAACATTTGCTTTCTAGAGCCTCCGGCAGCATCAAACGTCCCTGGTCCCTGAGAAGGCAGAACACGAGGCAATGCTTGCTTGCTAGCGCTTTATTGAGGGATGCAACCCCAGGGCCACACAAACAAGGGGGAAAGGGAAGTGAAGCAAGGAAGGAGGAAGCAAACCCAAGGTTGTGTGCTGCCCAGCCGGCCACATCTTCAGGAAGAGACATTGCCAGTTGCTCATCCGTCCCTCTTGGATGTCTCCTCATAGGCCAGTGGAACCACCACAGTCCATATTCTGGATTCTGCACAGGTCTTGTTTTTCACTCGTTGAAATTTGCTCCAAGGTTAACTCCCTTGCATTCTGTGTAGAGTTTCCAGGGCCTTGTAGGTAGATCCCAGGTACCTCGGTGTGAGCTGCTTATGAGTCCAGAAAGGGTGAGCGAAGCCAGAGCCTCCCTAAGTCTTGCCATGGCACGAGGAGGCCCAGGACAGAGCCTGGTCTTCATCCCAAGAAAGGCTGTGACATTTCATGGTGTTAGGAGGGTCAGGTGACCCTCAAGAGGTGCGTAGATTAGGTCCAGTACAGAAATACTGACGGCCAGAATGGATAATGAAGGTTTTTCAACATGCAAAACCTGCCCAGATTCGTTCAAAGTATTGGACCTTTAGTTGGGAGTCAGTACTTCTGAATCCCACATGAGCAGCTGGGTCCTGGGTAAGTCACATCTCTGAACTTGTCAAATGGGGCAATTACATTGACCTCACAGAGTTGTGAGAATCGAATTAAAATGTAGTAAAAGAACATTTTTAAGTGGCAAAGAGCTCCATGAATAAACGTGAGGGGCTGCTGTCATGTCTACAGATGGAAGTTGTGTACTGACCAAAATAGCCTGCCTGGCCAAAGTGGAAAGGCATTAAAATATTCAGTGTTACTTTGACCTCAGCTGACCAATAGGGCTCAGTTTGTGCTTCATTCCCCTATTTCAAAGTACTGGTGAGAGAAGGTCATCTAGGAAGCCCCCACACATGCCCCAGTATTTTCTTCCCATCTCTCCTCCCTCAACCGTGGCCCCTTTAGGGCAGTGACAAGATCTCATTTTTCACTCTTGTATACCCAGCATCCAGTGCTCTGTCTGGCCCTTAGGTGCTCACAGACACTATGGATGAAATGAAAGAGTGAATGAATGAACAAATGAACAAGAATCTCCACATCTTTGCCTAAATGGTTCCCAACATTTGACATATACCCCCACTCCCAGCAGGTCACCTGATTCTGGAAACCTTTAGGGACCCTCCCTCCAGTCTTCATTCCTCTGTCCCCCTTAGAGTGTAGGTCCCTTTCTCACCCCACAGCTGACAGTGGAATCGCTGGTTTTATTATCTGTCTCCCAGATCAGACCCCAAGTTCCTGGAAGGAAGGCACAGGACCTCATTCATGCTTGTCCCCAGCATTGTCCAGTTCAGATGTGTCTCTGCAAGAGCTTAGATGAAGAGTCCTAGTTCAGCACTCTACATAGAGCTGGTCACTAGGAAACTGGTCTAAAAGCTGATTTTTGGAGCCGTTTATACTTAGAGTATGTGGTTATAGGGGTGACTAAAGGGTGCCCATAGAGACTGGGGGAAGGAATGAAGAAAATGTTCCTTCAATGAATAAGCTATGATGTCAGACGCTCTGCTGTTTGTTCTGAGCTCCTGGTACCTTTGCCTAACCTAAAAGTAGGACTGTCCGTGCCTTGGGAGCCCTTCTGGAAGGCCAGCCATCAGTCTAAGCGCTTGCCCCGCGCTTCCACCGAATGAGCACAGCGGCCTCTCGGACCTGCGGCGTGGCCTGCGGGGCCAGGGGCAGCTTGTTTGACTGAAACGTGCCGTGAAACTTCGCGACGACTTGTTGATAATCTCGCCTCAAACAGAGGAGTTTGAGATGGTTGAGGGAAAGCAGTGGCGGCGAGATCTTCTCCAGGGCCATAGGTGACTCCTTCCAGGACGCAGCCCTGTGGTTGGAGAGGTCCCTGCACCGGGACGACCGAAGGAGAACAAGCCCCTGCACCTGGAGCACCAGCACCCGGGGGAGCTTCTGCCCTCTCCGAAGGGGGCAGGGAAGGGAGAGTCCTCAAGAACAGAGCGCAAAAAGGGGTCTCCACGAATCAGTCCTCAGCCCCCTCCCGCCGCCTCGGAGCAAGTTCCCCTGGAGCTGGGAGTCCTCTTCCTCGCGGGTGAATTAATAATGACTGAACGCCCAATACACAATAGCCTCGCTAGATGGAGACGAGGAATCACTGCAGCGCGCTGGCGGCGGCGGCGGCGGGGAGCGCGGGCGGGAGCGCAGCCCGGGCGGGAGGCGGGCGAGGCTCTGGCGAGGCTCACGTCTGTTTTCCTTTTTCGTGCATTATTTATTTCGCCTCCGCCCGCGGCCCTGCTGCCCGAGCGGGCGCTCCCAGCCAGTGCCTCTCGCCGCCGCTTCTCGCGGGCCGGCGTGACGGACGAGGAGAGCTCCGGCACCCCCGCGCCCTGGGCAGCCGCGCGGCGCCACCGGGAAGGGCGGGGACCCGGGGAGGGCAATCGCTGCCGGGTCCAAGCGGCTTGGAGGAGACTTCCCCGCCCTCGCCTCCTCCTCGGCAGCCCGCCCGGCCCTGGACGCGGGTGCCGCCCCTCCCGCCCCGCGCGCGGCCAGGCGCAGTCGGGAGCCACCCGATGCAAGTGCGCCGCGCCCGGGACCCCAGCTCAGCGTCCCCGGAGGCCCAAGCCGCGCGCAAACTTTTGCTCTAGTGTCAGGCGCTCCTCCCCGGCACGCGAAGCCCCCAGGCGCCCGCGCAGTCGCCAGGGTGAGGACCGAGGCCCCGCCTAGAGGGCGGGGGACTGGGGAGGCGGCTGGCTTTAAATGAGGGCTGTCCGGCAGCTCGGGAACAGTCGGCCTGGGGGGTGGGGAGTTTGATCTCCCTTCGCCGCGCAGGGATTCGGCTGGGGAGTCCCCCAGGCAAGGTGGCGTGAGGCACTGGAGGGATGGGAACGGTGATGGAGACCTGGGGGAAGCTCGTGCTCTGGGGCGGGAGGCCGGGGTTCGGGAGAGCGCGCCAGGGTAAATGGGGTGCGCATGGAGGTGCATATGTTGCAGTGTGCGCAGTGAGGGCCGGCGGGACAAGGAGGGTGCACGCAGCGTGTGATTTCATGGTGTTGTGCGTGCAGGGTCAGCGAGTGTGCAGGCGGGAGCCGGTGGGTGTGCATGGCTTTTTCTGTGGGTGTGCACGAAGGGTGAATGGTGCCCGCCCGGTTTGAAGTGTTTCAACTGTGGGAGTGAGTTGTGCATGGCTGTTTCTGGGGTGATGCACGGGGCTCTGCTGTGTGCATAGGGCCAAGGTGTGCACACAGGATTCAGGGGATGTGCACGGGGAGCCGAGGTATTTACCTGGGTTCTGGAGGTAGACACCAGGATAGAGTATGAGTCTGTGACGCCGGCTTCTGAGAGTGTGCACGAAGGGTCATCGAATGTGCAAACTAGAGTGAAGGGTCAAGCTTGATTTACGAGGGTGCCCCAGAGTGCGGGGCGTGCCTGCCCAACCCGGACTGCTACGTGTTCGGGTGCGCGACTGCGATGGTGCCCGCGCGGCGCCCCCCTGACCCAAGCTTTGCTCCCTGACAGTTCGCCCCGAGAGCGGGTCCTGCGGGCCGAGATGCTCCTCCGGGACCTGGTGCTGCGCCGTGGCTGCTGCTGGCCCTCACTGCTGCTGCACTGCGCGCTCCACCCGCTCTGGGGCTTCGTGCAGGTGAGCGATGGCGCCGGTTGCGCGGGCTGCGCTGGCTTGGAGACCTTCTAGGCAAGACCCGGTGGGGGCGGAGTGTCACTTCACTCCCCGACCCCAGAGCCCTGCAGCCTCCCCTCTGGTTGGTCCTGGGGAGAGTTTGGGTAAAGAAAGGATGCTAAGGCCTCCCATACTCTGGCCCGAAGAGATAAGAAACTCCAGAGGGGGGCTTCAGTTGTGGCCTGAGACCTGCAGGACAGGGCCTGGGAACAGAAAAGACTTAGGGAATGTCTTCTTAATGATGACGTTCTATTGCAGAAAAGCCAGAAATGAAACCTTAGAGCTTTTGCAAACTTAAAAAGAAAAATGATCTAAAAAATATACATCTTTTATATCCCACTTGTAACTTCAAATTAGCCTTCTTAAACTGGACTTGGACATAGGAGAAGCGGCGTTTCTTGTAGGGAGTAGAGTTGGGGATGTGGACAGATTGTATGTGGTGGCCACTCATAGAGAATGTAAGAAAAACTCTCCATATGTAAGGGTTGCCTGAAAATGGAATCCTCACCCTGGGTCCCCTGGTCCCCAAGGCAGAGGCCAGACAGCCACCTGCTGGAGGTACCTCTGTTAGGGTCAGAGAATGGGTTAGATGGGATGGTCCCTAGTACCTCCCAGAATGTACACGGTCAGTGGTACAGTGGAGTGGTGAAAAGGTGGATTTTGCTGTCAACTCTGAATTTTGATCCCCAACCCTGCCCCTTACCAGCTGGGCAACTTTAGGTGATGCACTTAACCTCTCTGATCTTTGGTTTCTTCTTCCTGACGGTGCTATTGCAAGTGCTTCATGAGATAAAGCAAGTAAAGACTCCTCAGTGCAGTGCACAGACCATAATAAACACTAAATTGTAGCTGCTGCTGCCATTACTGATGTTAGTTATAGTGATGCCGCTCTTCTGTCTGGCTGGCCAGGTACTCTGTCAATCACTACATAGTCTATTCACCCTTTTTGAATTGTTAGTGGTTCGGCGGGTGCTGGAGAACATTTTTACTATTCGGGGCACTGAAATGCCCCTATTCCAGGTATTTACAGCTTCACATTCTCCTGGTGGCATTTGGGGTTTTGGGGATTATTCAGATGGTTATCTGAGTAGGGGGTGACAGTCCAAAGAGGAAGGAGACTGCTTGCCAGCCTGCCATGGTCCATGAGCTGTCCCTAGTTTTGGGGCCCTGCTGGGAACCAGCTCAGTCAGTCCTGTTTGGATGGTGGCAGAGTGACCACTAGGAGAGAAGCAAGAGTTCTAAGCTGGACGCAGCATGCTGGTTGAGTGGTTTGATCAGGGTCCACCCCCCACCCAGCACCAGGCCTGTCTTCTGCTCTCTTCTCTGGCTTGCCTCTGCCTCACTCACAATTGTTTTCCTTTCGGAATTGACAGCTTTGTCTAATGTGTGAAACAGCAGTTATTAAACTCAGCTCTGCCTCCTCAGGATGCAGGATTTTGCCACTTTTAAACACTCGGGTAGTTGGGGACCAGCTTCCCTTGTTCAACTTTTAGTTGAACCTCAGATGTTAGGTTCACTTCGTTTTTATATTCGTTTGCTCACAGTTTTTCATGAGACTTTTCAGCTAGTATAGAGAGCAACACAATGATGTTGTCTGTCTCCGAGACTAGAGTTCTGCCGGGTGGAAATAGGAGACCCACCAACCTGCCCCCCTCCCCACCAAAGAAATACGTTTGTGAAAGCAGCCTGGTTTTTTAACAATATCCTTCAACCAGGCAGTACTTAACACAATTGTGTGTGTGTGTGTGTGTGTGTGTGTGTGTGTGTGTGTGTGTGTGTGTTTCAGATGCTGTTACTCAATACAAATCAATTAAAAAAGGAATCCTCTAGACAAGTAGAAAGAATAAAATCTTGGCTGGAGGCGCTGGAAAAATTAATCTACAAATGATAAGGACTGAAAAGCCAAGGGAAAGGGGACTTGGAATGGATGGATCTGGTTTTTAAGCAAAAGCTGTGACTCCAGGGGAACAGGGAGGAGAGGAAAAGCAGAAGCTGTGTATTTCCCTTTAAGTGGAGAGATTAAAATCCGTCACATCATAGGAGTTTCCTGAACATAAAGAAAGAACTCAGAGCTATCTGTGCTTTCATGAGCATTTTGCCGGAAGGGTCCCCCGAAGTTGTAAGCATTTGGAAGGGTGAGGCCGACATAACGAAGTCCTCTAGTTAATAGGATCATTGGTGAAGTGAGAGACCCGTGGTCCCCAAAGCACCAGGTTCCTACCTTGAAATCACCCCCAAGCCTCTGGATGCTGACTAGATGATGAAAAACTTAATCACTGAAGTCAGATGACATTTAAATTGCCGCAAGGTTGGTGTGGGGGCATCCGCGAGTCTCCCCCTTTTCTCTTTAATGTGTCTGGAATTGAGATTTTGAGCTTTTGTGATTTAGGGTTCTTTTAAGTTCACTTTCAGATGATTCCTTTTTTTGCAAGCGAAGAGGAGGACAGGCTGGCAAATTTATTAGGTGTGACAGGAGTGTGTCTCATCAAGTTACTGTGGTGCTGGCCTGTCTCCACAGAAGATGCCAGGAGCCATCATCTTTGTGGGTGTCTTCCTAAAGCCATTGTGAGGGAGACAGGCTCAGATCCTAGCCTATGGGTCTCTGTGTGCTGACAAGTTATTATCCCCAGGCCCAAGCAGTGATGACCTGCCCCTAGAGCTGGTCACTACAGCTTTGCTTATGTATTCAGCAGCATTTACTGAGTACCTACTGTTTGTCAGGCCCTGTGTTAAGTGCAAGGGACCTAGTGGTCCCGGCCCTCTTGGCATCAACAGTCTGGCACTGGAGAGATAATTAAACAAGTAAATACAGGCAAGATAGCCTGAGGCCACTGTTATGGTGAGGCCACTGTTATGAGCCACTAACATTGTATCTTACACTTTGGACTTGAGCCTGTGGGCTACAGGGACTGTCAAAGGTTTTAAGCAGAAGATGACCTTCTCAGATTGTTTAGAAATCCCAGTCCAGCTCTATCAGGAAAGATGGATTCAGGGAGGAGGTGAAGTAAGGGTCAAAGAGGCTGGTGAGGGTAGGGCTGCCAGATTGAGCAAATAAAAATACAGGATGTCCTGCCCTGGCCGGTGTGGCTCAGCAGTAAGAGCATCGGCCTGCAGACTCAAGGATCTTGGGTTCAGTTTCAGTCAAGCGCACGTACCTGGGTTGCAGGTTCTGTCCCCAGCCCCGGACAGGGTCATGCAGGAGCCAACCAATCAATGTGTCTCTCTCACATCAATGTTTCTCTCTTTCTTTCTCCTTTATCTCCCTCCCTCCCTTCTTTCCACTCTCTAAAAATCAATGGAAAAATATGCTCCAGTTAGGATTAACAACAACTAAAATAGGACGTCCAGTTAAATTTATATTTCAAATAAACCACATATTGTTCTTCAGCATAAGTATATCCCATCCAACATTTTGGACATACTTATACTAAAAAATTGGTTGTTGTTTGTTTAAAATTTAACAGAGTACTTTATATTTCACCCAACTGTAATGAGAAGCCAGGGCTGGCCAGCAGAGAGATGATGGTGTCCTGGCTTAGCGTGGTCATAGGGAGAAGTGGATGGATTTAAGAACTGTTTAGGAGGCAACATCACTGGACCAGAAAGTTGGACTAATTGGCCAGGACTGAGGACTGGCAGCCATGGAGTACCTTGTCCCCCAGACTACAGTGACAGGTACCAATTCCAGGTGACTGCAGGACCTCCCTGTGCCTCAGATTCTGGCCCCAGGACGCTGCAGAGCAGCGGAGGGAGGGCAGGTGATGGCAGAAATGGAATAACTTGTCCCGGCAGTAATGACGCCAGCTTTTACTCTGTGGGTTTCTGGCAAGTCATTGACCTCTCTGGGTCTTTGCTCCTTCTTACCGAAGTCTAGTTAAGAGTAGGAGACTTCTCCCGGCAGGTGTGGCTCAGTGGCTGAGCGTCGACCCATGCACCAAGAGGTCGCCAGTTTGATTCCCGGTCAGGACACATGCCCAGGTTGTGGGCCTGACCCCTAGTGGGAGGCATGCAGGAGGCAGCCGATCGGTGTTCTCCCTCATCAATGTTTCTATCTCTCTCTTCTTCTCCTTTCCTCTCTCTCTAAAATCAATAAAGAAAAAAAAAAAAATGTAGGAGACTTCAAGGGCAAGTTTCTTTTCCTTGTGAGACTCCCTAAGATAAAACACCAAGCAAGCCAGGTATTGAGACAAGCTCCTAGCACTGAGGTTTCCTCTCTACTTGTCTAAATGCAACACCACCAATCCTCAGAACCCCAAAGCGGACCCAGATTGGGGGATGACATAGACCCCATATTTTTGCACTGGTGGGCAGATCATGTCCCAAAACATCTTGTCACTGAGCACCAACTGAATGCTGGGCTCTGTGCCACTCTGGTCAATTACTTACCCTCACGGAGCCCGCTGCCCCACCCGCTAAGTGTGGATGGTAACACTACCTCTCCCGGGTGTCCTCGTGGGGAAATGACCGCTGTCTCCCATGGCTGACACACAGTAGGCTGTGCAGGAGCTGAGTCTGAAGGAAGAATGGAAGTTGGCAAGTGGATAAAGGGTTTGAGGAACCAACAGCCAGCGGCAAGAGGCTCAGGTGCCACTGGTTTGCGCTGGACCAAACTCCAGTGAGGGACCCAAGTGGGGCCCACCCCTCAGGAAGAAGGACAGCCAGCCCAGACGGGATACTGGTGTGGTGACGGGTAGCTAGGCAGTTGTGCTGGCCCCTTTTCCAGCGGCCCCTGTCCGAGACACCGCGGCTTTCTGAAATGCTTCCTCCCCCTTGCAGCCTTGAAACTTGGCCCCGGTTTCCCTGCCTATAATTTCATCGCATTAAACTCTCTTATACATCGGTGCCGTGATAGCCTCGCACAAAAATAGGTCATTGTGTTGGGCCGGGTTAAACAAACACTCTGCTCTTGAACTCTCACGTAAATTGCACTTTGGAGCGTGGGAAAGCAATTGCTTTGGCAATGGCAGTCATTGCTCGACGTTTACGCACTTGGTCGAGTTCAGCAGAGACCGATCTCAGAGGCCAGCTGCTGGGAGGATGGAGCTCTCCAGCAACCCCCATAGTCCTAGAAGGTCGGAACCCAGAGGACAGGCTCAGCGGTGCGACTGTGCCGGAGGAGAGGTCAGGGGATTTGCCACTGACGTGTACGGTTCATCATCTTCGTAAAATGACTGAGAAAAGGCTCCCCCTCTGAGAATGTGCTCTTCCCAGTGGGAGGTAACATTGCCTTCCAGAGTTTGTACGCCATCCGTGGTCCTTTAAAAACGCTAAAAGGGGGTGAGTAGGAGCTTCTCGGCCTGGCAGATATTGTCAGGGCCGTAAATTAGTTCACCTCCTGCTGTCATCCCCGTGGCCCTTATCCAGCCTGTGCAGATCTGCCAAATGCGAAGAGCGTCCCAGCCCTGCGGGCTCTCTGCCACACGGGCAGCAAAGGGTCAGCAGTGGCCTCTAAAGGCAGCTGCACGTGGCTGGTTGCAGAGAAATTGGGGTTCTAGGTCTCTACTCACTAAAGACGACAGCCAGAGAAACTGACCGCGGGCATTATTGAGGTGGGGGTGACCACCAGCTTGTTCCCCGGGACAGGCACCAAGCGCCAGCCTGGTGCGTTTACGGCCCTCTGTCTCGGGAGGGGTGCGGGCAGCCGGTCTAAGCCTCCTTTAGAAGTTTACCTGGGAAGCTAAACAGAATACCCTCGTGCCTGGCTGCCCCCGCAGAGACGCTGACCTCACGGATCCAGGGTAAGGCTCAGGTGGGAGTGTTTGAAAGCCGCCTGGAGGTTCTGGGGCGGTCGGGGCTGGAACCGCTGGTGCAGCACAGCCCACTCACGCGAGCTCCCAGCCTGTGGGCGGGAAACAGACTGCGGTGGAAAACACCAGGCTGGGACTCGGAGGCGTGGATTCTGGTCCAGGTTCTAATATTTATTCATTTGTTCATTCATTCGCCAAATATTTACGGAATGCTAGGGATTCCCATAGGTGCCGGGTTATGATAGTGAGAGAAAAGATACAAGGTTTGGCCCCTGCCCGGTACATCTCGAGTCCAACGGTGTTGATGGGCGGAACCAGGTAATCACCTGAAGTTCTGCCCCACAGAGTGGAACCTGGGCGGGAAGAGCCTATATGAAGGAGATCTGACCAGGTCAGGGAGGGTAGAGACCTTCCCCAAGGAGGAGGGGTGGGCGAACAGGCTGGGCCACTGGAGCGCAGGCGCACAGCGAAGGGGTGTGGCCGGGGCCCAGACACTGGAAGAAGGACACTGAGGGCAGAGCCCAGGGTGAGCGCTTGGGGTGAGGTGGGGCTGGACACGGTGGGGCAGGACCCTGGGGCCACGTGACACCCTGAGCTGCGGGCAGGCATTCGGGCATTTTGGAGGGATGTGGTGGTCTGGCCGGGTGTGTTTTGCACAGGACCTCTCAGACTCCCCTTGGTCATGGGGGTCACCCAAGCAGACGCCTGGCTGAATAAGGCTGCTCCCCCAAAGACCGAGGGCCTTGGCCGTCCCAGGAAGGCTGTCAGGAGCTGGGGGCCAGGAAGGTGAGGGCGTGGCCTGGTACCGTTGCCGGGAAGCAGGAGAATTGGCTGGGTCTGCTTACCCAGGAGGTAAAATCAGGATCCTCTCACATCCGGTGAGAGAACCTTGGGTAGCCGCTTCTCCTGGGCCTCAGTGTCCTCACCTGTCTGATGGGAAGCTACTGGGAGCAAACCCTCAAGTTCTTGTCTACCTCTCAGTAATACTGACGTCACTTGTGACAGCCCCAGAGCAGGTCCCTCGCAGAGCTGGGAATAAAGCCTGAGTCTCCAAACCCGCCAAGCCAGCCTCCCACGTTGTTTTCTCTGAGCCAGCCCAGCTTCTGTCTATTCTTCCTGCCCTGGTCTGAGGGAAGAACCCCAAGTTCCAGCCTGCCAGGCAGTGGGTGGGATGGGCCCATGTCGGGTCCCAGTTGCCTCATTGACTTCTCTTGGGCATGTGTGCCCATTTCTGCAGGTGACACAAGGTGAGCCCCAGAAGTCCTGCTCCAAAGTGACTGACAGCTGTCAACACGTCTGCCAGTGCCGGCCCCCTCCTCCGCTGCCCCCGCCACCCCCGCCTCCGCCACCTCCCAGACTCCTCTCCGCCCCAGGTAAGTAAAGGCCGGCTTGTTTCCGGTTTCTCTGTGTTTTCCGGGCCCAGGGAGAACCTGGGAGCATAGCAGAGGGCAGCCTTGCTTCCTTTGTAATTTTCCACTGGCCAAGCAGGAGGGAAGCCAAGGCCTAACTTTTCCCTGCAGTCTGCAAAACGCCTTTCCCACAGCCTGCTCCTGCGAGATGGAGAAGGATGTTTCTCCATCAGTTAATCAGATAAAAGTCAATCTCCATTTGATGAGTGACTCCGCTTGGCAGGCCCTGGACACTGGTCTTACATACCCCACCCACGCATATGGTTTCATTTTTCGACTTTAATTCAAGTTTAAGGAGGCAATTAGTATAGAACCAAAGTGAAGGCTCTGGGAGCCAAGCGACATGGATGCTTTTCAGCATCCGCAGTGAACTCTGCCTCACCGCCCCCTCGCCCGGCTGCCTTGATTTCATCTTTGAACAATTCGACTTCCTGGTCATTCAAACAAAGGAGGGTTTCTTTACCCAGGAATGGCCTCAGCCCTGACCTCCACGGGCTAAGTTCCCTGCCTACAATTGCTAGTTGAAGGGTCTCTAACAAGAGATTCTATATTTTGCATTGATCGCTCCCGCTGCGGCCTGTAAAATGCCTATGATCTTGTGTGGCTCTCCCTTGGTAAACATATCTCCGTGGAGTTATTGGGGCATTTTTCAAATAACCTTGACGATGCTTGCTGTCTGGTCAGCTGTGTGTCCAGGCTCTTGGTGTCCAGGCAGTGGTGCTGGGGGGCGTCTCTGCAGTTTACGGGCATTTCTGCATTTTGTCTGTTAGGCCCTTACCTGTCTCCATTCTTACCTGACATCTGTGGCTGGTGCTTCTCAGAGTGGGGTCCCCAACATTGCCTAAAGCATTTTTTAAGTGCAACTGCAGGGGTTCACTTCAGACCCACTCACTCAGAGTTATTGGGGTGGGGCGTAGGAGGTAGCATTACAGTAAGTGCTGAGGTGGTTCAAATGCAAGTTCAAGTAGAGAACCTTGGCCTACCAGGCTCCCTGCCTGGAGCTTCTATGCCAGACCCAGAGGTGAGAGACCAGTCTGGTCTCCTGGGCGCTCTCAGCTCAAAGGGAAGGCCCTCCTGTCAGCAACCTGCAGAAGGTGGCCTGAGAGAACACAGAAGTTCCTCTCCGGGTGCACAGGAAATCCTTGAGTAGTTGGGCCACAGTAAGCAGTAGCATTGACCTGGGTCTTAAAGAATAAATGGGATTGTTCTAGGTCAGCATGGAGGTCATGGGGAAAGGGCATCCAGGCAGAAGGAACAGCATGGGCAAAGGCTTGGAGGCATGACTCCATGAGACTCTCCTTGGGAGTCACAAGCCCTTCAGTGGGTTTATGGGAGTGGTCAAGGGGCGGACTGGAAAGGGCCTTGTGTGTGTGGCTGGTTAGATCACATGTCCTCCTATGAATCATTGTTTGCCAAATGTCATTCACCATATCCAAATACTTCCAGTTATTTGCCGTTTTTTCTTTAAATACACTCAATCTTGTATTTACACAAATTAATTTCCAAAGAAAATTTGACCCAACTACTGTCAGTGAAAAACCAGTATTACTTACATACATAAAGGTGACCAGAAAAATAATTGTCATGAGCCCTAGCCGGCGTGGCTCAGTTGGTTGGAGCATCGTCCCATGCACCAAAGGGCCACGGGTTCAATTCCTGGTCAGGACACATGCTTGGGTTTCAGGTTCGATCCCTGGTCAGGGTGCATATGGAAGGCAGCCAATCAATGTTTCTTCCTTACACGGATGTTTCTCTCTCTCTCCCTCCCTTCCTCTTGCTCTAAAATAAATTTAAAATAAATAAATAATTGTAATGGAAATGAAGTAAGTGGTAGCAGGGTGTCAGAGCCGTGGTATCCATGTGGAGATTCTTCTCTGTAAAGAAATCAGAAGGCTTGTAAGAGTATCAAAAGGGCCTGATTTCTTGTTCTATGTTTCACTGTGTTTGAATGCTGGGTCCCTGTGCTATTGAAAACCAGCTCCCTTAGGTGCTGGGACAAGTACCCCATCCTCTAGGTAGGAAACCACTATGGACAATGGTCAGTCCACGAAGGTGTTAAGCAGGAAAATGACGTGATTCTGTATGTCTGCTTCTGAAAGATTGACTCTGACAATCTGGAGGGGGGATTGGGGATGAGTTACCAGACTAGAGTCAAAGGAGGGACTCGAGATAATTCAGTCCCCAAACCACCCCTGAGGGCCTGCAGCCAGGCGGGGACTGCAGAGAAGGTACTGGGAGAGGACAGCGGCCTGATGCTGAGCTCTGGGCTGAGGGCACTTCTGGGTGAGGAGAGAGATGTAGTTGGTCCTGTGGTGGACTTTTCTAGGTAGACACAGCAGAAACCCATCTTGAAGAGGCTTAAGCAATGCAAAAACTAGGGAGGGAGATGTGAGCTTTTTGGCTCATGTATCAGGATATTCCAACAGCTGGTCTTACATGATGATAGTATTGGATTTCTGTCTCCCTGTCCCTTTCTCTTCTGATTTCTCCGGAGTTGCCTTTCCTCTCGGGCTGGTCCAGTCCCTGTGATTCGTGGGTCCAGGATTCCATCAACCTTACATTTAGTCATTTCCCTACAAACCGAGCTTCTCTTTCCCAAAAGGCTGACGTCCTGGGACTGACTTTCATGGACCAGCTTGGGTCACGTGTCCATCCCTGGACTAATCATGGTGGCCTATGGGATGGAATGTACTGATTGGTCAGGCCTGGGCCATGTGACCACCCTTGGAGTTGGAGTGTAGGGATAGAGGGTAAGGGAGTGGCAGCCTCCCAAGGTCATGGCATGAACTCTGGGCAGAGAGGACACTGGATGCACCCCACAGCCACGAGCACTTGACAGATTAGACCAGTGGCAGAGAATGTGTTTTGTGCATCCTCTTGATCCTCCTTGAGCTCATTCAGACCCTGCACACAAGTAGTGCCCAGTATAATGTCAGACAGAGCTCTGGGCACATCCACGGCTTCTGCTGTTCTCTAAAGGGAAGAAGTGAGCCTCTCTCCCAGAGGGCACAGGGCTTCAGTGGAGCCTCTGTTGCCCTTTAACAGGTAGGCATGGAGCTTACCAGGTGCTGGGCTGGGAAGTCAGTGGTGAGCCAGAAAGAGGCAGCCCTGCCCTCACGCCGCTCACGGTCCAATGGGCTGCCATTTGCAGAGGGGTTTGCAGGGGAGTCCTTTCCTGCCATCTTTCTGAATACTTTGGCTCCAGGCTCATGTCAGCCCCCACTCACTTGCTCATCAGATGTGCCTTGAATCCCTGCCCCTCACAAGCGCCTCTCTTTCACCTGGGGAGCGTTAACCGAGTGCCTGGTCTGAGTCCAGCGCCACGCTGGGGACACAGGTGCACCCAGAGGCACCCAGGGACCCTCCCACTGGCTGGGTCCGGGGAATGACAAGATGGGAAAGCGTGAGAGTCTTTACCCCGAGCCTCTGCTGGCGCCAGCCCAGCCACTCTGTGTGTTTAAGGGGCCGGCCCGTAGCCTCAGGTTCGTCTTCTGCAAACCAGGTTGGAGAGTTCTGCCCACTGCGAGGGGTGGACTCGAGGAGTCCCGTAAGTGAAAAGTGCTTTTGGAAACTGAACCGGTATCAACCACTGCTGCCGATCACCCTGTGAAAATCCTTCTGATACCCAGCGGCCTGGGAGGATGCTGTTGAGGAGGGGATAATTCCCGAAGGGGTGGGGAGGGAGAGTTTGGAAAGGCATGAAAAAATTCCCTGGTAGACCTTGGAGCAGAGGGAGGCCAGATGGGCTGTGGAGGGGAGGGAGGGGCTGAAGCACAGGCCCAGAGTTAGGGGCCCAGCAGGAGGAGACCCCTGCTGACGGCACGTTGGCCTGCAGGAGCCTGGGCTTCTGTGCTGGTGTCTGGGACAGAGGGAGAAAGAAAAAAGAGGAATCTCTGCATGTATTCAACAGACCTGTAAAGTCTCCCATGGAGGGGACTGCCGGAAACATTCGCCCGGATCGGGTGCCTCCACGTGGCCAGGCAGGCCTCCTCCTCCAGGGTGACCTGCTTGTCCTGGTGTGCTCCGGACTGCCCTGGCTTTAGCCCTGAAAGTCCAGCATCCTGGAAACCCTTCAGTCCTGGGCAAACCAGGGCAGTTGGTCGCCCTTCTGCCGGAACACCCTTCTGACAAAGGCGACGTGGTGTTCTGTTTTTGCTACGTCTGTTTTCTTTCGTTTTACCATGGAACTCTCTGGATCACTAGCCCCCAACTCCATGTGGATCTCATCACTTTCGGAGGCAACTCGACCCCGCATCCCTCTCTGGGGACCCAGCGCTGTGCCCCCTCCCAGCAGCCCTGGGAGGTGTGTTGAGACAGCTGTGCCCTGAGTCCTGCCCGCCACCAGGAAGGGGCATGCAGAAGGTTCTTGTGAGGTGGAATAGTCTTGAGCAGCATCTCCACTTTCTGCCCCAAACTCTGCCCACCACCCCTCACTTCAGCTGAGGTGGCACACTTTGCAAACTTTTGCAAGCTGTGGGCCGTGAGGAGACACTAGACCCATAGTTCTCAAACATGTGGTCAGAATCCCCTGGAAGGCTTGTTTCAACACAGGTTATTGGACCCCATCCCCAGAATTCTCGATTCAGGCGGTCTGGGCGGGGCCCGAGGGTTTGCACTCCCGACATACCCTCTGGTGATGCTGCTGTGTTGGCCCGCGGTGCACACCTTGAGAACCAGTGTCCGAGAGAGTGGCCATGAGGTCAGGGGCTTTAGCATCAGTCCCAGCCCTTCCACTCCTAACTCTGTGGCCCTGAGCATGGTGCACCCCTCTCAGAGCCTCAGTTTCCTCAGCTGTAAAGTGGGGTTGATGATCCCTATCTGAGAAGGGATTTCCGAGTGATTGGAGTTTATATGGGCTGTTCTTGGCAGAAACCACATGGTTGAAAGGCCGTGTTACAGTGCAGTGGCTCAGCCTGGCTTTTTTGCCCTCCTGACCTTGGCCCAACCCTTGTTCATTAGCTAAG